GACCCAAGTCACCTCCAGGAGGCCGAAGGGCAGCAGCGCCAAGAAGCTTAACAGCAGCAGCGCCTTGACGCGCAGCGTCTCCCTGAGACTCGACACCTCCCTGAAGCTCGGCCCTCTCTGCAGCCAACGGCGGTTGAACTGGTGGATCGGAAACTGCAGGAAGATGACCACCAGCCGGTCGATCCCCACTAGCGTCTCGATGACCACCTCCAGCAGCATGGTCGGCGTCAGCATCCTGAGAGTCGCCGCCAGCGTCACCACCACCAGTCCCGCCCCGACCGTCGGGGGCCTCGTGGCACGGAGGCGGGGGCACGGCGGCGGCGAGCGGGACCCTGCTCCTGGCCAGCGATGCCCAGGCTGGCTCGCAGGGAGGCACCTCGATGGCTTCGGCCTCGACGACCTCGAACTTCTCGCTGGCACTCTGCTTGAGCATCGCCTGCGGAACGGCGGCGGTCCACTTCGCCACATCCTGGATATGCACACGCCGGCCAGCGCGTGCTGCATAGCCTAGTCTCCGAGCAGCCGCTTGGAGGGGCCTCGGCCAGACCTGACCGGATCTCCTCGTAGCCGTCATCCCACTCCTCGAAGCTCAAGCCGAGAGCGGTGCCTCCTCGGCTCCGCCCCGTGGGCCGCGCGGCCGCGCTGAGCCTCACCCTCCCTGCGGGCAGCCCGATGGCGCGGCGCGGCGGCAGCGCGCGCCGCGGACGGGCCCCCCCGCGTAGGAAAGGCACGGCTCCTCCTCCTCCTCCTCCTCCTCCTCCTCCTCCTCCTCCTCCTCCTCCTCCTCCTCCTCCTCCTCCTCCTCCCCTCCCCCTCCCCCTCCCCTTCCCCTCCTCCTCCTCCTCCTCCTCCTCCTCCTCCTCCTCCTCCTCCTCCTTCTCTCCCCCTTCCCCCTCCTCCTTCTCCTCCTCCTCCTCCTCCTCCTCCTCCTTCTCTCCGGGGTGGCGGCCCGAGGGCGCCAAGAGGTCGCTCCGCACAGGGCGTGGTCGGCGGGCGCAAGCTCTACACCTGCACTGGTCCGTGCCAGTGCAGCTCGAGTCGGGAGCCCTGAGACGGGGGTCAATGCAAACGGGGGTCAGCCAGAGCGCCCGATCTTGCAGGATCCTGCAGAGGCCAGGGGTTCATTGACCCGGGTTTGGGTGCAGGATCCTGCAGGATCCTTCGCATTGACCCGGGTTTGGGCGCAGGATCTTGCAGGATTTTGCAGGATTTTGCCAGGGTTGACTGACCCGGGTCTGGATTGACCCGGGTCAGAAGATCCGCGATCGAGTGGGGGATCGACTACAGAACTGATGTGTCTCAAAACCGTCGTTCAAAATCTCGTGGGCTCAAGGCTCAAGGCTCAGGGCCCCGGACAATCAGCCAAGCCAGGGCACTGTACACACAATCCGCTATCATCACTTTCCATATTGTCTCGATCCCTGCTTGGCTGTTCGACACCACATCAATGGCTTCTCCAAGCGCTGGTGGTACCGTATGCGTGCCAGGTACTCCCGTGAGGCATCTGTTCAAAGAGGACGCTGCATTATCATCGCAGTGGTTGCAGTCGCCGCCAGCAACGCAAGGGAAGCAGACGAGCGCTCGTCATCAAAGCCCGCTGAACAGCATGGACGATGACGACGACGACCTCCGCGCTGAACGCCAACGCCAATTTGAACTTACGCTCGCGAGTGCGGCCGGCAGTGGAGAGGGGATACCGAAAGGTAAAGGTGGACAGGGAGGAGGGAAGTTGTCTGGGGAAGTCAGCATGACCGCCATCGAGAGCATGTTCGAAAGGCAGCTGACGCTCCACCTGAATCCCATCCACAAGGACATTGCGGCGATCGAGGAACACGGCGTTTCCAAAAAGGAAAGCGCACATCCTTGGACCCTAAAGCCGACATGAAGCAGCTAACCGAACGGCTCGAAGTTCCAGAGGGTACAGGGTCCCGATCGCCATCGGCAACCTCCTCAGCAGCAGCGAGCCTCATGCCACAAATCGAACAGAATCGATCGGATCTCGAAAAGCAGTTCGCCGATCCACCGCAACCAGAGATCAGGAACGCAATGCAGCGGCAGGAGGATTAATTCATTTCGTGAGCATGGACGCGGCCACCACTTTCTTGAAGGAACATTTCGACCGGATGACAGTGCTGGCGTGCATCGTCATGTTCACAAATGGCGATTTCAACAACACCATGTTTGTGAAGTCCGGTATTATTTTTTGCCGGGTCAAGTTTGTGAACATGTTCAGGAATGCGCAGACCAAGCACCAGGGCAATATTATTTGAACACGCGTGGATGCCCCCATCAAAAAGACGAGTGTCTGAGAATTTCCCATCTGGATTCTACGAAAAATGCTGCATGGACTGGGGCTACTCGATAGGGGGAGTCAGAGTGGATACGAACGAATCCAAACTCTCGATTGCCCAAGAACTGGTGGTGCGTGCTCGAGTGGTGGGACGCCGTCTTCAAAAGCACTGGTGCGGAGCTTGGGCTATGTGGGAGGACCTGACCAGCAGCCCATAAGTCAAGCATCTTACGGATCAGGCGAACGAGGCGCGAACGCTGGCTTCGACGAAGGGGGGCGGAAAAAGGAAAGGAAGGAGGTGGCACGGCTGGCCACTAGGAAACGCGGCGGCGCATGGACGACCCAAGTGCGCCCTCTTCGGGAGAATGGGTGATTTCTCCATGCTGGCCCACAACTTGCCGAAGAATCGCATCCTGGAATGTCGAAGGCTTCTCCTGGAGCAACCCGCAGAAAGCGTACGACATCATGAAGCAAGGTCGCGACTTTGACATTGCTGTATTGTGTCTGCAAGAGACGCGCTGCTCCGGATCTGAAGTCTATGAGTTTGAAGGCCACTTATTCATGTTATCTGGGGGTGAAAGTGGCCACCAGGAGTACGCTGGAATGGGGTCCGTTGTGTCGCCATGGGCCCGACCAGCACTCAAGGACCACGTGCAATTCAACAATCGGGTAGTTAGTCTACGGTCGGGTTTAAGGAGGCAAATTAACATTGGTCACAGTTTACACTTGGACAAACTTGCACGCCTACGAGCTGCGGTGCGATGTTTTCGCCGATTTGCTTAAGATCTACACGAAGTGCCGTTCTCACGGTCCAACATTACTTCTTGGCGATCTTCACGCTCGTTTCTTGGGGCGTTTCGCCAGGGAGGGGGATTTCATGGGGGAACACGTGTTGCGAAACAGTGCCATTAATTGAGATCCCACGTCAGATCGGGCGTTGTTGGTCGGTTTGCGCGCTGCTGCGGGCGCTTGCATCGCCGGCGCGCGTTTCGACGTCCAGGGCGAATCAAACGCAACTGATAATGACATCGGCACGCGCCCGGTGGTTTTCATTCGGCCCCAGAGTTTCGAGCAGCTCGACCACGTCGCTGTCCGCCAGAAGTGGTTTTCAAACGCGCGGTGCGTTTTGGCCGACCGGTCCTGGGCGTTGCAGTCGCATCATGTTGCATGCATTGTTGATGTGGAGATTCAGATCCCCATGGACAAGCGACCCCCGCGGCCGCCTCGATGTGACTGGAGATCTTTGCGAGATGCGGCAGTAACAGAGAAATGCACCACCAGCTTCACTGCGACAGCAGGGGGAACTCGAGTTGGAAGTGCAGCACAGGAGCAAGCGTTCAACATTGCCGCATGGATGCTGGAAGCCGCAGCCGAACACCTCCCGCTACACGCAGCCAGGCCGCGCAAACCGTGGGTATCTTCAACGACGCTGTCTTTGATAGACCAGAGAAATGCTGCAAGAACCCATGGTGGCATTACCGCGCATATTAACCAGCAAAGTCGATCTTCTGCACGTGCCGATAAACAACGCTGGCTAGGCAATGCGATTGAACACGGCGGCTTGCAAGCGATTCGGCCCTTGTGGAAAAGCCCGACCCCATAGCAAGGGCGCCTTCGCAATCTTGCAGGTGACCTGGTGGATTCTGCAGGGAAGACCAAAAAATGGCGGACTCTTTGGACGGGGTGCAATGGAAATTACACGATGGACTTGAACCTCTACCACGCTGCAAAACGGCGGCACATAGGATATCAAGACGGGCGGCATTACTCTTGGGGAAGTGCGCCGGGCAGCGCAGCGCCAACTGAGGCTCACGGGGGGTATTGCATCGACCCCCAATTGCCCATTGATTGGCCGAAAGGGGCCCGACTGACCCGCCCCGCCCGGGAGCAGGCGGATTCGCTATCGGGGGTGTCCCGCCGATGCATCGGCGATGTGTCGCCGATGTCAGCCCCCTTTCCCGTTGCCCCCTTCGGCCACTCTCACCCTCACGTTGCCCCTCCCTCGTGTTTTTCATGGTCTGCGCTCGTGCCCTGGAACGTCTTCGTTTGGGGCATCTCCGTGGGGCCCTGGGCCGTCGACGAAGGGGCCGTACACCTTAGGCGATGCTTAAGAAAACCGAAGTTTTCGTCCAGAGTCTCGATTACTCTTAACGTTTCGATGTTAACCCCAAGATTATGATAGAAGCTTTGGGTTTTTATTCAACTCCTGAGATTATGAATTTCTGAACCCATGATTTCTATATATATATATAAACAAAAGAAAAAACGCAGGGTGTATGGGGCCCTGGGCCTTCGACGAAGGGGCCGCATCTGCGGGCGTCCCTCGCAGATGCCTGCCCCGGGGCCGCCAGCCGGCGGCCCCCCAGGCTTCGTCGTCATGGTCGTCGTCGGCGTCGTCCTCGAGGTCGTCAGCGTCATCCTTGCTCTCGTCGCCGCCCTCGCCGTCCTGCTCGTCGCCGTCCTCGTCGCTGCTCTCGCCCGGGGGCGGAAAAGAGGGGGGTGATGACTAGGGGGGGGGGGATATCATGGCGCGGGCATATATCTCCCCAGATTTCACGGCGCCTCTTCTCATTTCATTACGTCCCTGGCCCCTCCGCTGGGCCGCGCACATGCTGCCGGTCATGATTTGCACACCCCTCTCTTGGACACCCCCCTCTTTGCCGCTCCCGACTCGTCATTCCCGTCCGCTTCCACGTCGTCGTCGTCGAAGTTGACGCCTTCGGCGCGACGCCAGGCAACCGTCGCTACACGTTCTGCGAGCTCATGATGCGCGCCAAGGGCTACCCCGCGCCCCAGGACTGGACTGGCTATAAGGGTGAAGGGAAGAGGGTGGAGAGGGGGAAGGTGGGTGAAATGAAGAGGGGGAAGAGGGGGAAGGGAAGAGGGTGGAGATGGGGGAGGAGGAAGAGGAGGAGGAGGAGGAGGAGGAGGAGCTGGAGAATGCGGAAGGATGGGGGCGTGGGGGCGGAAGCGGATAGGGGAGGGAGGAAGAGGATGATGAGGAAGAGGGGGGATGGCGGAAGAGGAGGCGGAGGAGTAGGCTGAGGCGGAGGAGAGGCAGGAGGAAGAGGAGGAGGAAGAGGAGGAGGGGGAGGAGGAGGAGGAGGAGGAGGAGGAGGAAGAGGAGGAGATTGCAGAGGGGGCGGGAGGAGGGGACGTTTGGGGGGAGGGGAGGAGGAGGAGGAGGAGGAGGAGGAGGAGGAGGAAAAGGTGAGAGGAAGGTGGTAGAGGGAAGAGGGAGGACAACAGGGGGATGAATGTGCAGCCATACCGCGGATACGACGACTTGTACTTAACCCGCATCGGTATCATAGATGTCCAGCTGAGGAAGATGAGCGCAATCAAGTTCAATGATCTTGTCACTTATCATCATCCTCTGGCGTCTCCCATGCGTCTCATTTCTCTTCCCTGCGGGGCATCATCCTCATCTTCCTCATCCTCTTCCTCCCAAACCTCGGGGCCTCCTTTCTCCTTCTCCCTCCTCCTTCCCCCCCTTTCTTCTCCTTCCGTCTCGTCCCTCCCTCGCATTCCTCCCCTCCCCCCTGTTTCCTCTCCCTCCTGCCTCCCTCCTCTTCCTCGTCCCTCCGTCCCCCTTCTCCCCCCCGCCCCCCATCCTCCCATCCCTCCCCCCCCTCCCCCCAGCGCTCCCTCTCGCCCTCTCTCTCTCCACACCCCGCCCCCCCCCGCGCCCCCGCCCCCCCCACCCCCCAGTTCCAAGACGCGGACAACTGCAAGGTCGTCCTCCACGCCAGGTGGCTCCATGGCAACCCGGACCACATGGGCAACATCACGTACCAGGCGGGGCGCTTCGCGCCCGGCGCGCGCGCCCGCGCGAGGCGGACACTCACGCGGCGAGCTCGCCCTCGCACGCCCCCATCGCACGCGCGAGGCCTCGCGCGTGGCTCGCGCGTGGCCGCGCGAGGCGCCTCGCGATAGGCACGCCACGGCCGCGCGCGGCGCGCGCGAGGCGGACACGTGAGCAGAAAGGCGATTGGGCCGCCAGGTCAGGACCTCCTCTTCCTCCTCCTCCTCCTCCTCCTCCTCCTCCTCCTCCTCCTCCTCCTCCTCCTCGATCCTCCTCCTCCTCCTCCTCCTCCTCGATCCTCCTCCTCGACACGTGAGCAGAAAAGGCGATTGAGCGAAAGGCGATTGAGCGCCGGAAGGCTCTCGTGCCCCAGCTGGCCAGGGGGTCCTACGAGGGGTACAGTCGGGGCGTTGACCTAAGGAGCCCCAAATCAGGAATGAGGCCCCCTTGTTCCCAGACGTTGAGCTTCCATTTCCCATCGGAAGCCCAAGGAAAACCTGAGGCAAGCTGTGGACCAATTCAGGAACACCTAGCCCCTTCCCAACGAAAAGGGTCCCTTCTTCAGCGGGCCGACTGTAGCCGCGCGCGCCCGGGGCTGGAGTGAGGGGGTGGGCCTTCTGAGAGAGCCGGGGGTATTCTCAGAGCGGTCCAGGGGGGCTCCTGGAGAAATCACGAGAGCTGCGCAGAAGCCCCCTCTGCCTGCTCAGAAGGCCCCCCCGGCGCCACGTCCTCTGGTGCGCACCTCCATCAGGGGATGCGGCGGTGTCCAGTGCGCGCCTGCGCTGCCGAACAACGGCGGTGCGCCGCCGTTGAGGGAGCGCGGTGTCTGGCGCGCGGCTGCTTGGCCGCGCCGCGGCGCGCAGCGGTCGCGGCGGGCGGGCCACAGCGGTCGGCGGCAAGCGCATGGGGCTGTCGAGCGCTTCCTGGGCCCGCTTGGCGAACAGCGCTGCTGAGAGGAGACGCCGGCTGGGCCAGCCGATGCCAGGGGATGTTGCACCATCGGCCCTGGGAGGAGGAGGAGGAGGAGGAGGAGGAGGAGGAGGAGCGGAGGAAGAGGACGCGGAGGAGGAGGAGGAGGAGGAGGAGGAGGAGGAGGAGGAGGATGAGGAGGAGGAGGAGGAGGAGGAGGAGGAGGAGAAAGAGCAGGAGGAGGAGGAGGAGGAGGAGGACGCGGAGGAGGAGGAGGAGGAGGAGGAGGACGAGAAGCAGGAGCAGGAGGAGGAGGAGGAGCAGGAGAAACAGGAGCACGATTACGATACTCACAGGAAGGCATTGGCCGTCTACACGTACAGAGTGGCCCGTCGCTGGAGTGGCCTCTGGTGCGCGGCTTCGGCGGGGGAGGGCCGGGGGGTGTCTCACCCAGGGGCGCAGGCCTGCAGTGTCGCATGCAGCGATCGGCCTGCCGCGCACCAGAGGTCGATCTTGTCCAGGCACCCAGACCCCCTCCTTGGCATCGCTCGGACGTGTGCATCCCTCCTTCGGCAAGGACTATCGAGGAGCATCCTTGATCATTTGGCGGAAAAACCACGCACGAAACCGAAAAAAACACAGGGAATGGACGTCCGAGCGATGGCCAGCCTCGCGATGCGAAAAAATCGCGACGAGAGGTTTTTCGCTGTTTCCGGCCGCTGGGGGCCCTTCCTGGGCTCCGGGACAGTCAAAAAGCGACTCGGGATGAAGAACCGGTCCCGGGGAAGGGGTCCACACATTTGGGGGTCGGCGTTGTGAACAAAAGCAAGGCGTCGGGATTCTGGACATTCTTGCGCGTAGCTGGCTTGGGCCAGCGCTGTCAGCCGCAGCCGGCGGAGCAAGAGATCGGCACGAACGAAATGGGTACGGAAAGCATGGGTAAGATGCCCAACAGCAGTTCTTGTCCATTTAGACTGGGACTCGCTGTCCGCGCCGCCGCGGATGTTGTCCATGTGTCACAGAAGGCCGCTTGCCCAACAGCGGCCGCTGTTGATTTTGGGACCACATTTGTTGTTGTGCATCGTACCCATTTTTTCAGTACCCATGTCGGGCGTCCAAACGAGAAGGACGACGAAGGTGCGGACGAGGACGGGAAGAGGGTTCTGGTCTCCTCCACCCCTTTTGTCTCTTCCCTCCTCCTCCTCCTCCTCCTCCTCCTCCTCCTCCTACTCCTCCTCCTGCTCCTCTTCCCCTCCGTCCCTTTTGGCTCTTCCCTCCTCCTCCTCCTCCTCCTCCCCCTCCTCCCCCTCCTCCTCCTTTTTCTTCCCCCCTCCGCCTCGGAGGAATTGGGAGAGGAGACGGGGGCAGGGGCGGAATGGGGGGGGTGTCCGGAGGGGCAGGGTCCGGGGGCGCGGCGGAGGCGGGGGGCGGGCAGGCCCGGGGCGCAGGAGGCGGAGGGAAACGGGCCTCGGAGGGCGAAGGGATCCGTGCAGGCGATAGCAATAACAAAAACAAAAAAAACAAAAACACAAGAACACAAAAAAGAGAGAGACTAAAAAACAAGAACAAACGGGCGGCGAGGGCGGAGGGGCGGCGGGCGGAGGGGCGGAGGGCGGAGGGGCGGAGGGCGGAGGGGCGGCGGGCGGAGGGGCGGCGGGTGGAGGGGCGCTCAGGGCGCGAGCGCCGCGCGCGGTGGCCCAGCGAGCGCGCGCGGAGAGGCGCTCTGCGCTTGCCCCTCGGGGATGCCCTTGGCATCGCTCGGACGTGTGCATTCTTTCTCGGCGAGGGCCATCGAGGAGCATCCTGGACCATCGAGCAAAACAGTAACACGCACGAAGCCGACAAATGCACGGGAAATGGACGTCCGAGCGGCGGCAAGCGCACTGCGCTTCCCCTCGGGGATGCGGGGGGCGGCGCGGCCCGCGGCGCGGCAGGCGGGGAAGATCCTGGGCATGACCGGGCCGCGGCTCCCCAGGGGGGTCGGCCAGAAGATGCTGCCGGCCACCGCCTCGAAGCCCTGCTCCTCCTCGACCTTCTCGCCCTCTTCGGTTCGCGGCGTGTTCGTGTCCTCGGAATCTTGGCATCTCGCTCGGACGTGCGCTTTTGTGTCATCGGCGAGGACCATCGAGGAGCATCATGGACCATCGAGTAAAACACACGCACGACACGGACACATGATCAGGGAATGGACGTCCGAGCGATGGTAAGGAATGGCGTTCTGGCACTATTCAGGATCGTCAAGGCGCAGCAGTCAGGCTGGCTTGTGGCGTTGAAGTCATGAGGATGGTTTTCTGGCACGTTTCATGAGTTTCGCACGCTTGCAATATGGCCAGGCTTGAGAAAAGAGGAGAGGTTTTGGAGGGAGAGTATATTCCAACTTCGTTGATGGGTCTTGGGTTTGCACTGGTGCTCCTCCTCCTCATCCTCCTCATCCTCGTCCTCCTTCCCGTCCCTCTCCTCCTCATCGTCCTCCTCCTCCTCCTCCTCCTCGTCCTCCCGTCGCTGTCTTTGCTGGCAGCGTGGTCCTTGCTGGGTGCTACCACCACTCAGGAGCGGCGGTCGCCCCTGGGGGGGAGATTCCAACCTCGTTGATGAGTCTTGGCTTTGCACTGGTCCTCCTCCTCGTCCTCCTCATCCTCGTCCTCCTTCTCGTTCTCATCCTCCTCCTCCTCATCGTCCTCCCCCTCGTCCTCCTCCTCCTCCTCCTCGTCCTCCCGTCGCTGCCGCTGCTGGCAGCGTGGTCCCTGCTGGGTGCTGCCACCGCTCGGGAGGGGCGGTCGCTCCTGGGGGGGGGATTCCAACCTCGATGATGAGTCTTGAGTTTGCACTGGTCCTCCTCCTCCTCGTACTCCTCATCCTCGTCCTCCTTCTCGTCGTCGTCCTCCTCCTTCTCATCCTCATCGTACTTCCGCTGTTCCTCCTCCTCGTCCTCCCGTCGCTGCCGCTGCTAGCAGCGTGGTCCCTGCGGGGTGCTGCCACCACTCAGGGAGGGGCGGTCGCTCCTGGGGGGGGTCCAACCTTGTTGATGAGTCTTGGGTTTGCACTGGTCCTCCTCCTCCTCGTACTCCTCATCCTCGTCCTCCTCCTCCTCCTCCTCCTCATCGTACTTCCACTGTTCCTCCTCCTCGTCCTCCCGTCGCTGCCGCTGCTGGCGGCGTGGTCCCCGCGGGGTGCTGCCACCACTCAGGGAGGGGCGGTCGCTCCTGGGGGGGGGTCCAACCTTGTTGATGAGTCTTGGGTTTGCACTGGTCCTCCTCCTCCTCATCATCATCCTCGTCCTCCCCCTCGTCCCTCTCCTCCTCATCGTCCTCCCCCTCGTCCTCCTCCTCATCGTCCTCCCCCTCGTCCTTCCCCCTGGGGGGGGGATGCTCACGCGGGAGCCGTGGCGGATAGCGTAACAGGGCACGACGGGCAGAGAGGACCGTCAGGGGCCAGGGGTAATTTGCAAGGGCTCCCACGAGGGCGCGCAGGTAGTCCTTGGCATCGCTCGGACGTGTGCGTTTTTTCCTTCGGCGAGGACCATCGAGGAGCATCCTTGATCTTATGGCGAACAAAAACACGCACGAAGCCAACAAAAGCACAGGGAATGGGCGTCCGAGCGATGGCCAGAGTCGCGTTTCGCGCGTCGCGGTCCTCGTTCCTTCTCCCCCTCCTCCTCGTCCTCCGGTTCTCCCTTTGGGGGGCGGCGCGAGAGCGCGAAGTGATTCGCACTCCGCGCTCCGCGCAGCGCGAAGCGCGACGTCGGGAGCCCCTGTAACTAGGCCCCCCAGCGCCTCTGGGGTGGGAGGAGGAGGAGGAGGAGGAGGAGGGGAGACGAGGACCTCCCGCCCAGACCTCCTCGCCTTTGTGAGAAAGTCACGGCCGAAGGATTTTCGCTATGTTCAGCCTCCAGGGGCCCTCATTGGGCCTCGGGACCGTCAAGCAACGACTCCGGATGAAACGCTAGTCCCCCGGAAGGGGTCCAGATCCGTGGGGTCGGGAGCCTTGAGACGGGGGTCACTGCAAACGGGGGTCAGCCAGAGCGCCCGATCCTGCAGGATCCTGCGAAGACCCCCTCTGGCTGACCCGGGTCAGCGAGCCGCTCGTGGCCGCGAGGCGGCCGCGCCTATTGGCTGACCCGGGTTTGCGAAGCCATGCGCTGCAGTTTTTTTTCCTGCATTGCAGTTTTTGGCTTCCTGCTGACCCCGGTCTGGATTGACCCGGGTCAGAAGATCCCCGATGGGGGTTGACGTCGTGAACAAACTCACAACGCCGAAGGTCTGGGTGCTACGATCAGAAGGAGGGGGGAGGAAGGAGGTGGAGGACAGCAGATGGTGCGGCGGCACAGTCGGCACGCGGCGCAGTGTGGGTGGCCCTCGGAGTGGTTCATGAGAGGGGCGGTGACAAGCTACAGTGGAGGCCCATGCCAAGAAACGCCCTGCTTGCCTCCAGGGTGCCCTGGGTTTCTTGGGGTTCGATCGTTTTGCGATGGAGTACGTGACGATCCCACACTAAAAATCAATGGACGTCCTGGGTCTCAGAGTTGGGTTTCTTGTAGAAGGTTTCTCGTGGTCGAGCTCCTACTGTAGGTACGTTCGCGCCATGTCTGACATCCTATCCTTGCCTCTCATCGCTTCCCTTTTGCGCTGACGTTTCTTCGTACGAGGGCGCGTGCCATAGCCGACCCGAAACTCCACCAAAAGACCCCATCGTGTTGTGCGTAGTCGCCAGAGGTAATGTAGGGATCCTGTGCGGCCTGCGGGACCTCTGTGGCCTGTGCGGCCTCTGAGATCTGCGACTCCAGTGGGACCTGTGGAACCCGTTGGAACTGTGGGACCTGTGAGACTTGCGAGACATGTCGGACCTATTGGACATGTGGGGCATGCGAAACTTGCGACACCTGTAAGACTTGCGGAACCTGTCAAACTGGTGGGACCTGTGAAACTTGTGGGGCGGCCTGCGACACTTGTGGGTCCTGTTGGACCTGTGGTTGCCTGCGAGACCTGTGGGATCGACTAAAGAGACCCACGCTGCAGCAAGAGCACCATTCCGAACCATTCCTGGAAAGCTGTACATAATCGGATAGTTTCAAGAACAGGTGAAAAGCAATTTCTTGTAGATCCTATACGTAGACAGGGCGCGGAGTGATCGAACTCAGAAACAACGAAAGAAAGAAAGCTCGCTCGCGAACAACATGTGTGTGTGTGTGTGAAAGCCCATGCACGAAGGGGGGGCGAACACTTTTCCACATCCTGTGAAGGCCTTGCGACCGGTGTCGGCGGCACAGAAGGACGGCAACGACGACCACGACGACAACGATAACGACGAGCTGACGACCCTGCCACAGGCTCGGGACATTGTGCGAGCGGTGGAGGGCGCAGGGGGAGGAGGAGCAGGAGGAGGAGGAGGAGGAGGTGGAGGAGGAGGATGTGGAGGAGGGAGAAAGGGAGGGGGATGAGGAGAGGGGAAGGAGGAGAGAAGGATGAGAAGGAGGAGGAGGAGGCAGGAGGAGGAGGAGGAGCAGCAGGAGGAGCAGGAGGAGGAGGAGGAGGAGCAGGAAGAGAAAGAGGAATAGGAGGAGAAAGAGGGAGGAGGAGGAGGAAAGGCAGGAGGAGAAAGAGCAGGAGGAGAAAGAGTGTGTGATGATGATGATGATGATGATTGATGATGATGAGGAGGAGGAGGAGGAGGAGGAGGAGGAGGAGAGGGGAGGAGGAGGAGGAGGAGGAGGACGCCGTCGGTCTCCTGGGGGGCGGGCTGGGGCCGGGGCTGGAGCAGGAGCCACGGTGCCCGGCCGCAGGCGGGGCCGGGGCCGGGACCCGGGCCGAAGCCAGGGCCAGGGCCGGGACCTGGGCCGAAGCCAGGGCCGGGGCCGGAGCGGGGCCGTGGCGGGGCCTAAAACGACGCGAAGATCGGGACAAAATCGGATCGGGATAACTCGAAATCTCTGAGAATCGGCGGGTTTGGAGGATGTATTGGGCGCCGCGGCCGCTCCAGAGCGTTCCGGAACGCTTTGAGAGCGCTCCGGAACGCTCTGGAGCGATTTATCCCGATCCTAGCCGGGCCGAAGCCAGGGCCAGGGCCGGGACCTGGGCTTAAGCCAGGGCCGGGGCCAGAGCGGGGCCGTGGCGGGGTGAGGGGGCCCGAGTTTCCTCAGAGCCCCGAGTCATCGGGGGTAACTCGGGTCAGGGCCAACCCCGGTTCGTTGTGCGGGATTCCGAACCCGAGTTACCCCGGGCCCGAGTTACCCCAGATAATACTCTTGCACAGGGTGTCTAGAGCTCCGACCACTTTATTTCGGCGTCGTCGTCGCTCCCCCCCAGCTGCCTTGTGCCCTTCATGTGTCGCTGTATGTGTCGCTGTGTGCCTTGTGCCCTTCATGTGCCCCTATATGTGTCGCTATATGTGTCTGTGTCGCTGTGTGTCGCTATGCGTCTCCATGTGTGCGTCGCTATGTGTCGCTGTGTGTCGCTATGCGTCGATAAGTGTGTGTGTGTGTGTCGATACATGTCTCTAGATGTCGATTTGTGTCGACATGTGTCGCTATGTGTCGCTCCACAGCACCCCAGCGCACCGCCCCCTCCGCCCCGACGACTTTATTTCGGCGTCGTCGTCGCTCCCCCCCCCCCTCTCCCTCTCCTCAGCAGCCCAGCGCGCTGCCCCCTCCGCCCCGACCACTTTATTTCGGCGTTGTGTCGACATGCGTCGCTATGTGTCGCTCCCCAGCACCCCAGCGCACCGCCCCCTCCGCCTCGACGAC